CCAGCCATACAAAAGATTCTCTAAAACCAGCTTTACAAACGATTCTCTAAAACCAGCCAAAAATAGATTCTCTAAAACCAGCCATACAAAAGATTCTCTAAAACCAGCTTTACAAACGATTCTCTAAAACCAGCCAAAAATAGATTCTCTAAAACCAGCCATACAAAAGATTCTCTAAAACCAGCTTTACAAACGATTCTCTAAAACCAGCCAAAAATAGATTCTCTATATCCAGCCATACAAAAGATTCTCTAAAACCAGCTTTACAAACGATTCTCTAAAACCAGCCAAAAATAGATTCTCTATATCCAGCCATACAAAAGATTCTCTAAAACCAGCTTTACAAACGATTCTTTAAAACCAGCCATACAAATGATTTGAGACACTTATTTGAGAATATATTTATTAAAATTGGAACTTCTTTTTTCTTGATTGTTTTGTCTATTGTATTATTCTTGTTGTGCTTTAACCTGACATATTTAATGACCTTTACAGTAGTTGAATAATCTGGGTTTAAGACTGTTAATGGCTTTTAATTTACAAGTGTCATGCTTATTATTATTATGATTAAGTGTGCATCTTTTTGGACTATCATTATACGTATACAGGATTTTAAAAAAACCCAAATTATTTATCATCTAATGCTATGATGTAAAATGTACTTGAAAAAAAAATTATTTATATTTTTAAAAGACGGGGTTCCCCTATCTTTCCATTTTATCTCACCTTTCTCCAAGGAAATCCACGGATGAAAGTCATCCAAAAATTTTCTTCCTTGACTTGTTTTCACACTCTTTCCTTGTCACCCCCTTTTATTTAACTTAACGAGAGGACATGTTTATTCCATTTCGACATACTTTGAGTACTTGACTCGCAGAGTACAAGCTCAGCACACTATTATTTAGTCTAGTAAGAGCTTATAATCATAATCTGATGGGGCCGATGCGATTAATTAATCAACCTCTGCGTTATGGTAATAAGTCAACTCATTGTAATCACACACACACTATTCCCAATCCCCCTCTCTCTCTCCCCCCCCCCCCCCCCCCCCAACCTCACTCACTTCCTTTCTCTATCTTCCTTTCTCATCCTTAGAACTATAACGCCGCACTGTGTGGATTTAAAGAAGAAAATGTCCTTAAAACAAGAGATATTTTTTTTGTATAGTTTCCTTTCTCACATTCCTCCAAATGCCGCGGGATGAACAAAGAACGTTATGTCTTACTGTCAGTTAATCCTTGTATTAGTGTTTTGGCCTGATAAAAAAAATTTAAGGATGCGGCTATTCGGATCCGTTGAGAGTTTGGGTTTATTAAAAAAATAAAAAAAAAAATTATTGTTGGGTTTTTACGACAAAATTTGGTATCAAATGAAAGATAATCGAATGGACCATATGTTTGTAAACTTAATTCTTCAGTTTAACTAAAATAAACGAGCACAAATGACATCAGAATAGCATTTAGTCAAGATGGAACCGGAAACCCATCGCCGCTATTCGGACCCGGGTCCCATTACACTCAAGCTATTCGGATAGCATTTGTGGTAGTTTATTTTAGTTATTTATATAAATTATACACTATATCTTTCTGGTCATGTACATGTTACATCATAAAGTATTAATATGTAGGTATACATATATATATATATATATATATATAATTATATTATGCGGCAAATTATGCTTATAATTATAATTATAATAAGTAGTATCTTTTTCATTAGAAACTATATTATGATAATAATAATAGTAATAGCTTTTTATCTCTCCTCGTATTATCGTAATAACGTCGAACTTTTTTTAAAAAAGAGGTAAAGGGTAACAACAAATGATATTTATATTTGATAGCTCATTTATAAGATATTTTTTATGTTTTAAAAATAGGTCGTGATTTAGTAATATTATTATAACTGGAAGTGAAATTACTTTACCTAGAAGAAATATTTAGAAATTCAGATTCTAAAAATAGAAAAACAGGTTTATGCCCTTCCCCTTAAATAGGTTATTGGGAATTCCAACATTAAACATTCATTTTCATTTATGAGAAATACGTGTAAAAGCTTTGGGTAAACTGTAAGTAGAAATGAATGTAAAATTTAATAAAAAATACACAGTCAAAATAAGTTAAACATTTGTGTGTATTTTATGAAAAAAATCATGTTTTTTGAATAGTAAAAACACATTTTATTAATCTAAATGTTAGAAAAATGTAACGCCTGTGTTCTTATTTTACCTATTACCAGATAAAGTTACAATGCCAAAGAGACACACATCTAAAAAAAACTACACCGAGAGGTGCAAGTAAACCGTCCGACAGAAATGACGTGTGTAGATCTAAAACCAGCCATACAAATACAAACGATTGTCTAAAACCAGGTCCCAACGCAGGACCAACTTCTCATAACATCAGTGACAGCACTCTCGCATCGGTGACCGATACATTTGCAGAGTCACCAGGGAGAGAATTGTATCAAACTATCTCATCAGGTAACTTAGAAGATGTGATTAAACTGATTCAAACATCAGACGGAAAGACCAATGACGTCGAGCAGTCGACTCTAGACCAGGGGCTTTTGATGGCGTGCAGCGGAGGTCGCAAGTTTGTTGTCCGGCATCTCCTGCTCAAAGGCGCTTCCACCGAAACCAGAGACCCTATGGGCAACACCCCCCTCTTAGTCTCCGTTGAGAGAGGATTCGTAGACATCGCCAGGCTGCTCCTGGATAAAGGAGCTGACGTGAACGCAACAAACATATGCGATGATTCTGCTTCGACCTTATTCATGGGCAACACCCCCCTCTTGGTCTCCGTTGAGAAAGGATTCATAGAAATTGCCAGGCTGCTCCTCGACAAAGGTGCTGACGTGAACGCCTCAAACATACGCGGTGATTCGGCCTTGACCTTATCCGTTAGAACATGTGGGTCGAAAGATATGATCGGTCTGCTGTTAAAGCAAAAGTCTGTCAATGTCAATCACAGAAACAAAGATGGCTACACGTGTTGGATGAAAGCTGTGGAAGCTCTGGACTTTGACGCGTTGAAGCTTCTCATCAAATCAAGAAAAAACATCAACAAAAATGGGAACGACTGCAAAGGACAAACAAGTAGAAAATTAAGCAAGCAACTAGAAACGGATAGCAATGCCATCAAATGTTTTAATGTCGATGCCATCATATCACTGATAGAGCATGAGGAGAAGGGATACGAAAGTTCTCTGAGACTTGCAGTATTTCAACGCGATTTATACAGTGCTCGGTTTTTGATTGATTATGGTATATATGATGCTAAAATTAATAAATATGATACAGAATTACTTGTTGACTTTATGGAAGATATAGAGGATAAACAAAGTAAACAATGCCCTTTCAGCAAAACTGAATTGGAGATTATCAGAAAACTTCTTGAAACTGGCGCTGACGTTTATCTGAGGAATTCCCACAGAGATGATGAAGTTCTTGTCAAAGCAGTGAACATCGGCAGTTATGAGCTCGTTGATTTGCTGTGCCAACATGGTGCGGATCCAAATACTCAATCCAGTAAATCTCCATATCAGAATGCTGTTCTTGCAGCCGTAGAAAAAGGTCGATGCGATTTGCTGAAAGTTCTGATTAAGTACAACGCCAATATTCACAGTAACAATGTGCGACTACATCGACTGCGACTTTTCACTCCAACAGAAACAGCTTTGCAAAGTGGAAAGGTGAATGAAGTAAAGGTGCCGAACAAAAACAACAGAAACAATGTCAATGTAGAGGCGGGACTGCACATTGCTGTCACACATAAACGTCTAGAGTCGCTGAGATTTTTGGTTGGTGAGTTTTTAGATCTTAGTCGATCCGCCATCCATAATAACAGCAAGGGCCTTATTCATAAAGCTGTTGAGACGGGAGACGTGGATATTATCAACACACTGCTGGACCTTGGCTCCGATGTTAACTGCTTGTTTGATGGGAAGACGCCACTGATGCACGCTGATACACCTCAAGTTATGGAATTGTTAATCAAGAGAGGAGCAGAAGTCCACAAGCAGACTGCCACAAATAATATTTTATCTTACATTATATTAAGAGAATCGAAAAAGACAAGCCAAAGAGACCTGAAACGTGGAGAAGAGAGGACAGACAAATCGCCTTCACCACAAATACATTTAAAAGACATGGTGGAATTACTTTTGAGAAGTGGAGCAAGAGTGAACGACACAGATTCTCGAGGACAGACACCATTGATGGTGGCAGCTAAGCAATCTGATGCCGAGGGTGTGTTGAAGATCTTGGTCGAATCTGGAGCCGAAGTGAACAAAGTGGATTCTAAGGGTGTCGGTGCTCTGCACGAAGCCGTGGTAGGTGGGTGTCTGAAGAATGTGGAAATTTTAATTAAATTAGGAGCAGACGTGAACCAGAAGTGCAATGACGGTCGCACTGCTCTGCACGCAGCTATACATAACGAGGCCATCTTGGGATCTTTGATACAGAATGGCGCAGACCTTGATGCGCAGGACGCGGGTGGAAACACGGCGTTGCTAACAGCCATTAAAAGCAATCGCGATGAAAACAGTGCAAGAATTTTGAAAATGTTACTTGAAGCAGGATCTAACGTGAATCATCGAAACGCAAATGGTGAAACGGCTTTAATGAAAGCTGCTTGTTGTCTAAATGACGAAGCAATCAAAGCACTGTGTGAAGCTAATGCCGATGTGAATATGCGCAGTCTTGACAACATGAACGACGCCATCTCTACTCTTGTTAACAGACTGTGTAAATCACAATTTACCCTTGGTGAAGTGCGTGACTCAATTTTTTATCTGCTTGACAGAGGAGGAAGCTCTTCATGTGTGAGTCTTCAAAATCTTTACTACTTGATTTCAAACGGTTTTTTGATCATTGTCCAGAGGCTTGTCGAAGCTGGCCTTGGACCAAGCGATATTGACGCTCAGCAATTACCGTTTAGGCACAGAAAGCTTCTAAGTGCCAAAAATGTCTCCCCGTTTTGTTTCGCTCTTCTGTGCAATGAAGTGAAACTAGCCCGTTACTTTTCAGACATTTGGTATTTGACCAACTCGGATGTGACATCACTGGCCCAAGACGAGATCATTCGTCTGCGTCTTGAGTGCCAACATCTCAATGAGAGTCTTAAATTTCTGGAGGAATTCTCGTCACAACCGATGTCCCTACAAACATTGTGTTTTGTCGCCGTGTCTACTTCAATAGGAACAGGACCAGACCGAGAGCAAAAAATCCGAGATCTTCCTCTGCCAAACAAGTTCAAGGATAAACTGCGGTTCAAAGGCGGTTCTGCGTCGGAACCGCGTTTTGACGACGACCAACGGGGTGTAAAGTTATTGCCCGACAGAGCCAACTTCGTCCTGGGCTTATGGGATCTATTTTGTGACAGCGATGAAAGTGATTTTGCACTTGACTCTGATTATGAAAATGATTACGATTATGAAAATTATTTTGATTATTATGGTGATTCTGATTAAGATCATTATTTGATTGTGACAAAAATTAAAGATGTTTAAAAAAAGTTTTATCACCTTTACATGTTGCTAATGTTGTGACTCTTACAAAAAACGGCATATCAAATAAAGAGGACAGAAACATATTAACTTTCGTACTGTGCATTTTTTTGGGCATTATATTAATTTTGTTGTTTTTTCACAATTCGATAAAAAGAATAACTTGAGCTATGACAATGTGATAATGAGGAAAAGCTTCAAATATGGTTTAAACGTTTTTAAACTCAGGAAAAAAGAAACCGTCTCAATGACTCATTAAATAATTCAACAGAAATGTGTTGATCTAAAACCAGCCATACAAGCGGTTCTCTAAAACCAGGTTCAACCGCAACACCAAACACCTAACATAAATGACAGAGATCTCGAATCGACAGCCGATGATTCTTCTCGAAGTCATCTAGTGGAGCTCGATATTAATCGCGCAACCAATGCACATACCACTTTGAGCCACTAATTTCAGATTGTATTGAAATATACGCCTTCATTTTAATTTGTATTTTCTGAAATGTGTTTGTAAATTTTATTATTGTTATTTGTGCTTTCACAAGCCATATTTAATGATCATTACCGTATTTAATTATCTTGTTTTATGACTTTGCTATATTTATTTAAGACATGTTTTAAGACTGTTGATGTTTTTTAATTCACATGTGTTATGCACATCATTATTATTATTTTAAAGTGTGCATCTTGTTGGAATATCATAGTTAAACGTAATTAAAAAAAACAACAACATTACTGTCTATTATTTAATGTAATTATTTAAAATTTTCTTAAAACAAATTTTTGTTTAAAGCAAACATTAATGTCCATATTTTTAAAAGTCGGGGGTTCCCAGTAGTCCTTTTTTCCATTTTATGTCACCTTTCTCCAAAGACATTCACGAATAAAAGTAACCCACACATATTTTTCTGCAACTTGTTTCTCGTCACCCCACTTTTATTTACCATAACGAGAGCCATGTTTGTTTTATTTCAATAGTCTTTGAGACCTTGACTCGCAGAGTAGAAACTTGGCACAATGTTATTCAGTCTAATAAGATCATATAATCATATTCTGAGTGTGTACTATGCAATCAATTAATCAACCTCTTCTTCTTCTATATCTTAAGGGCCTACGATCAATTTATTGATCATTTTGGCTCCTCAGCGCTATGTCAATTCAACTCAGTGTAAACACACACAAAATTACCCATCTCTTTCTCTGTCTCCCTCCAGTACCAGTACTTGCTGCTTAAACAACTATTTGCCTTAATATAAATCAGCCTCATCGTCTTTTCTAAGTCTAAGTAAAACAAAAAAGTTGATGGCGGAACTAGAATTTTACTAAAAAAACTTACGTCAACAAAAAAAAAAATTAAAAAAAAAAATCCAAAGCAATGCTACCCATCAGTACATTAGAAGGTGGCGGTCGCCACTTTGACAACGAAATCACGATACTCGGTTTTCGGCACTTCCCGAATCTTACCGAAGACTTTTTGCTGCTTAAACAACTATTTGCCTTAATATAAATCAGCCTAATCGTCTTTTTTAAGTCTAAGTAAAAAAAAAAAGTTGATGGCGGAACTAGAATTTTACTAAAAAAACTTACGTCAACAAAAAAAAAAATTAAAAAAAAAAAAAAATCCAAAGCAATGCTACCCATCAGTACATTAGAAGGTGGCGGTCGCCACTTTGACAACGAAATCACGATACTCGGTTTTCGGCACTTCCCGAATCTTACCGAAGACTTAATTTCATGCTGGTACTAGTAAAGTAATGCTTATGTTAGTTGGAGCGTTAGACAATTTAAAGTATTATTCATGAAGTCTAGTAAAGTAGAGGAATAATAGAGCTGTGGTCTGTGGTATACATATTAATATATGCTTATACAATAATTATACATTTATAATTGGCAACAGTTGTAACTAAACTAAAGAATGCGATAATTTACTTTTTGAACAGAAACTGTTTGAAACCAGAAATAGAACTAATCAAACCAATTCAGAAGAAGTGGGCGTCTCCAACGGGAAAGCCACTCTGTTTTACAAGAATTTGAACCTACGCCACATACCACAGTCCGACTATAGAGTGCTAAAAAGTAAGCAGATTTTATGACATTAAATTATGATATACACATTATTTATTGTTTAATTGTTATAAATTATTACTTACTAGTATAAGTAATGCTATATCATATTCTCTTTTAAACACCACCTTTATAGGCCTATAATTATTTATTTGGCTATGGAACAATGGCGATAATACAAAAGATGGGACAGAATTAAAACGTAGTTGCTCATTTAATTTATCCCAGTAGTCGGTAGGCTAGTTATCTTTATCATTTTTGACAGCGCCGGATAGCTTTTTCATTACATATAATATATATACATACAAACACACAACAGTTGGTTATTTCTTCTTTGGGTTCGTCCATTAATTACGTCAACAATTTTTACGCAATTTTTGACCCTCTCCCCCACCCTATGCAAGCTTTTGATGACCCCCCCCCCCTATTTAAATTGTCAACATTTTATAAAAAAATGAGTTATAATATATGAAAATCTAGAAATATATTTTACTTAGTGCTGATCTATTTTAAATGACACGTAAATCGTAGCGCAACATTTTATGACATGTTTAGCTTGTTAATCAACAAATTAAAAAGTTTTTACACTTACATTTTAAAATGCAGAATCAAGTTAAAGGTTGTTAAGGACTAAATAACATTGTTTTGGAAGTATACATAAGTTTATTGTCCGTATAGCTGACAAGTATGCTATGGTTTCTAGCTGCTGTTTTCTTCCCATGGAGTACCCTGGTGTTACTGTATCGTAACATTGGGCATCAGGGACATCATTTGGGTAGGGCAGGGGGCATTTGCATCCCCCTCCACTGATTTTGCTGGTTTTATTTATTTACTGTGGTGCCTCTAGTTATCAACAACTTAATAAGCCTTACAAGTTCTGTAAAAAATGAGTAAAACAGAGTAGGTTTAACCCTACTCTGTTTTACTCATTTTTCATTGTGCTAACCTGATTGCAGTCTCTACCCTTACAAGTTTTGGTTTGCCCCTCCCCCTGAAAAAAAAAACCTGAAAGGATGCCCCTGATGGGCATAGTCTTTAGTAACTAGTTATCATTTCCATCTTGCGAAACTGATATACCAGACAAGTCAACATCATCCATATCTAGCCATTCAGCACTTAAAATAAAAATATTTTCGGCAGAAGCTCTCTCTGTCTTTGAGTTGGTATAGTTGTTATTGAACACCGATAAGTTGGGTTATTTTTGTAATTGAAAACCGTATACAATTATGTGTTATTATTCTATGGAGCGGATTAACAGAAACATGACAGGTGAAGAGATGCCAACTTTTGCAACCAAGTGTGCTAAAATTCTGACCAACCATCTGCAGTGCACAGACAGAAAATATTAAATAACTCTTTTATTGTTAAAAATCTAAACATGTATGATTCATTAAATTGTTTAAAATAATTTAAGAACCAGTCAATTTTTAAGATTAAAATTTTAATAGAAAAATCAAAAACATGATTGTTGACGTCAACTAATCTACCCCCCCCCTCCTCCCCCTTGTCAACTGTCAAACATTTCCAACCCCCCCCCCTTTTTCTATTTTGTTGACGTAATTAATGGATGATCCTTTGTAAGATCACCGAATTTTTTTTCTTAAATGGGAAGGTTTCATCGGGTACCAACAAATAATTTTATGTTAGATAGATTATTTATTAATTATGAGATTTAACAAATTATATTCAATAGTTGGTTATTTCTACTTGTAATATTGCCGAATTTTTTTATTTTTTTTCTAAATGAAAGCTTTCATTGGGCACCAATAAATAATATTTATGTTTGATATCCTATTTATTATTTATGAGCCATTTGTACTTAACAAATTGGGCACTATTTTTGTAACATTATTATATCCGGAAGTAAAATTATAGCATTACCAAGAAGAAGCTAATGGAATTTCCGATTCTAAAAATAAAGGAACATGTCAATTCCCCTCCGCTTAAATAAATATCGGGAATTGCAGAATTACACATATTTTTTAATAAGAATTCCGGCTAAACGGGTAAATCAGATTAATTAAAAAAATAAAAGTAAGTAAAAATAAATTAAAAATGTAATTATCTTAAATTAAAGACCTTAAAATGTTATTTTTAAACATTTTGAAAAAGTCAGAAACTTGTAAATATTTGTATTTTGTGTGCAAATAATTGTCGAGTAAGGATCTATTTGTAATGTCAGATACATTGAGGTACTTGGGTAAAATTTTCAAATTGAATGAATTAAGAAATGAACACATCTTCTGTAAGATAGCCCTTGTTAAATGAAGTAATAACATGTTTTCATTTTTCATGTAGTACTTTTGGTTTAAAAGTTAAGATTATTTTCGTGAATGAAAATTTTTTTTTTTTAAAAACAGAGATTTGTGACCACTTTTAAATTTTTTTTTTTACGAAAATGCACATAACTTTATAGCAGAGAGCACAAATAATATGAAACTTTCCTGAAGTGTTCAACTTCGTATTGCCAACATCTTTTAAGCTTTAAAAACTAAAAAAAAAAAAATAAATATTATAATTTTAAAATATTTTTGTAAAAATAAAAAACTTTAAAAAAAAAAAAAAAACAAAAAAAAAAAACCCCAAAAAACACCAACCTATGGTTCAAAGTATTGAAGAATTAAATTGTACAACAATCTAATAAATGGGCCTAATTAGCAGTCAAAATAATATTATCAAGACAAGATTAAGGACTTGATAACTAAGATAAGTTCAGAAATATTATTTTTATTTTTTATAAAAAAAAAAATTGAAATCAAGCGTAATTTATTTTAAAATATGAAATATAATAGAGTTAATCTCACAATGAAAAGTTGTATTTTTATTTGTATATCTGATAAAATTTTAGTTAATATGTCTGTTATTGTAAAGTTGATACAATAAAACCTAATGTTATTTAAGATGGAACTTGATTGCTTTAAGTATTATACATTTCTTGGGCTTTCTTATCTGTCAACAAGTCATAAATAATACTGTTTCCGGCTTATTACTTTAGTTTTCCGCCAATTTTTCCCTTCAGTTTTAGACACATTTTATGGCAAAAAACAACACTGTTTCGGGGGTCTTAGAGACTTGAAATTTTACAAGGTTATTTTTTATACAATTCTACTGGTAGGCCTACACCAGGTCGATTTAAAATGGGACAACGCATAGTTTTCAAAATATTGATAAATTAGACTTCCTTGATTTTTCAATTTTCTTTCTTACAACGTACTAATATTACTATAAACAAAATGAATGTCATTAAAGCCTGTTCATTATCGTAACTAGAACAGTATTTCGTGCGTGATCCGACGTATTTAGCGCGAAAAAATACTATTTTATTGAACCCTATCAATCCAGCACATCCAAAAGAAGCGTCTCAAAATCCTAAGGGGGGCGATTGCGTCAAAATAGCCTCCTATCCAAGTACCTATCTCAGACTCACTTCATCACAACCAATTCAATGCAACACTGAATAATACAGTTCAAGTTATACGTTTATTCCACTTCAGTACAGCATGGAGTAGGCATAAACGCTGTACCTAACATCCACTTGGTACACAAATCAGAATAACCACTTAAAATACATCCAGCAGAGCCCAGCAACACACATCAAGCTTCACCGTGAATATGGCCAACACAATCTTTCTCTCTCCTCATACACCATAAATATATAGGCCTATACCCTATCCCCCATCACCGACAATGTCACGCCTCGTTCACTCATACTTGCACTAATTCGGGTCAACATAATTTACCATAACCCCCAACCATAACAACAGTGATTCTCATACCCCTGACAGTAATGTTATGTAGACGATCATGTTTTTTTTTTATAATAGTATAATTTTGTTTTATTCCAAAATCTAATAAAAATCTTAAGCCTATTGCTTTCTTACATTGCCAGATAAATTTACTATGTCCAAGTGACACACATCTACAAACGCTACATCGAGAGAAGTTAGTGAGCCATTTAAAAAAAAAATGACTTGAGTAGATCTAAAACGAGTAATACAAACGATACTCTGAAACCAGGTCCTAGCGCAGCACCAACTTTCCATAACATCAATGACAGCATTCCGGCAACCATGACCGATATCTTTTCAAGGTTAAAAGGTGGAGATTTATATCAAGCTATCTCATCAGGTAACCTTGATGACGTCATTAAACTAATTGAAACATCAGACGGAAAGACCAATGGGGTCGAGCAGTCGACTCTAGACCAGGGGCTTTTGATGGCGTGCAGCGGAGGTCGCAAGTTTGTTGTCCGGCATCTCCTGCTCAAAGGCGCTTCCACCGAGACCAGGGACCCAATGGGCAACACCCCCCTCTTGGTATCTGCTGAGAGAGGATTCGTAGAAATTGCCAGGCTGCTCCTCGACAAAGGTGCTGACGTGAACGCCTTGAACGTACGTGATGATTCGTCCTTGACCTTATCCGTTACAACGTGTGGGTCGCTAGATATGATCGGTCTGCTGCTAAATCAAAAGTCTATCAATGTTAATCAAAGAAATAAAGATGGCTACACGTCCTGGATGAAAGCTGTGGAGGCTCTGGACTTTGACGTGTTGAAACTTCTCATCAAATCAGGAAAAGACATCGACAAAGACGTGAACGACTGCAAAGGACAAACAAATAAAAAAGTAATCACAACTCTAGAAACGGATAGCCCAGCCATTCAAACGTTTAATGTCGATGCCATCATATCACTAATAGAGGATGAGGCAAAGGGCTCCAAAAGTTCTCTGAGACTTGCAGTATTTCAACACGATTTATACTGTACTCGATTTTTTATTGATTATGGCATTTTTGATGCTGATATTAATAATTATGATACAGAATTACTATTTGACTTTATGGAAGATATAGAGGATAAACAAAGTAAACAATGCCATGTCAGCGAAACTGTACTTGAAATCATTAGAAAACTTCTTCAAACTAGAGCTGACGTTTATTTAAGGAAATCATACAGAGCTGATGAAGTTCTTGTCAAAGCAGTGAACATTGGCAGTTATGAACTCGTTGATTTGCTGTGTCAACATGGCGCTGACCCAAATACTCATTCCAGGAAACCACCATATCAGAATGCTGTGGTGACAGCAGCAGAAAAAGGTCGTTGCGATTTGCTGAAAGTTCTGATGAAGTACAACGCCAATATACATGGTAACACTAGGGGACTATACGGACAGAGCATTAACTCTCCAATAGAAGCAGCTTTACAAAGTGGCGAGGTGAAAGTTGTAAAGCTGCTGCTGAAAAATGGAGTCAGTGTCAATGTAGAGGCTGGAATACACATTGCTGTCACACACAAACGTTTGCAATCGCTGAGATTTTTGTCCAATAAGTTTTCCGACCTTGCGCGATCATCTATTCACAATAACAGCAAGGGCTTTATTCATAAAGCTGTTGAGACGGGAAACATTGATATTATCAACACACTGCTGGACCTTGGATCCAATGTTAACTGTTTGTTTGATGGGAAGACTCCACTGATGCACGCTGATACACCCGACGTTATGGAATTGTTAATCAAGAGAGGAGCAGACGTCAACAAACAGACTAATCACGGGAGTCAAATTAATATCATATCTTACGTCATAGTAAGGGAATCAGTGAAGGAAAGAAATAGATATCCGATAGTTCAACTAGGAGGTAAAGATGAATCACCTTCATCGAATATAAATTTAAAAGGCATGGTGGAAATACTTTTGAGAAAAGGAGCAAGAGTCAACGATTCTCTTGAAATGACACCATTGATGGCGGCAGCTAAACAATCTGATGCTGAGGACGTTTTGAGGATGTTGCTCGAAGCTGGAGCCGAAGTGAACAAAGTGGATTCTAAGGGTGTCAGTGCACTGTACAAAGCCGTGGTAGGTGGCTGTCTTAAGAACGTGGACATTTTAATTGCATTTGGAGCAGATGTGAACCAGAAGTGCAATGACGGTGGCACGGCTCTGCACGCAGCTGTAGATGGGCAGGACGCAGGTGGAAATATTGCGCTACTAACAGCAGCCAGTGGAAATCGGGCTGAAATCAATCCAAAAGTTTTGCGAATTTTACTTGGCGCCGGATCTAACGTGAATCATCGAAACGCAAATGGTGAAACGGCTTTAATGAAAGCTGCTTGTTGTCTAAATGACGAAGCAATCAAAGCACTGTGTGAAGCTAATGCCGATGTGAATATGCGCAGTCTTGACAACATGAACGACGCCATCTCTATTCTTGTTGACAGACTGTGTAAAACACCCAAGACTCATGGTCAATTGCGTGAATCAATTTTTTATCTCCTTGACCGAAGAGGAAGTTCTTCATGTGTAAGTCTTCAGAATCTTTACTATTTCATATTGAACGGTTGTTTGACCATTGTCCAGAGACTTGTCGAAGCTGGCCTTGGACCAAGCGATATTGACGCTGAGCATTTACCGTTTAGGCACAGAAAGCTTCTAAGTGCCAAAAATGTCTCCCCGTTTTGTTTCGCTCTCCTGTGCAATGAAGTGAAACTAGCCCGTTACTTTTCGGACATTTGGTATTTGACCAACTCAGACGTGACAGCACTGGCCCACGACAAAAACGTCCGGCTGCATCTTGAGAGCAATCATCACAATGAGAGTCTTAAATTTCTGGAGGAATTCTCGTCACAACCGATGTCCCTACAAAAATTGTGTTTTGTCGCCGTGTCTACTTCAATAGGAACGGGACCAGACAGAGAGCGAAAAATCCGAGATCTTCCTCTGCCAAACAGGTTCAAGGACAAACTGATGTTCAGTGCTGGCTGTGCGCCGGAACTACGTTTTGACGACGACCAACGGGACGTAATGTTATGGCCCGCTAGAGCCATATATGACCTGGTTTATGGCGATCTCGTTTATTATGTCAGTGATGAAAGTGATTATGAACCTGACATTGATTATGAACGTGATTATTATTAAGAACAGTTTTTTGAATACAATTGTGATAAAAAATACTGATGTTTAGAAAAGTATCACGCTTACACGTTGCTAGTGTTATGACTCTTACCAAAATGGCATAAAAATAACGTGAACATAATATATTTCGGAATATTCGCGGCTTTTTGCATTACATCTAATATATATATATATATTACAATATAATAAAAAGAATGACTATTTGATACTGGAGGAAAGCTTTAAATGTTCTAACCCCTTTAAACTCAGGGGGAATACCCTTATCTCAACGAGTTAGTAAATAATTCTAACGTAATGTGTTGTGTTGATCTAAATCAGCCTTACAAAAGATTCTCTAAAATCAGCCTTACAAAATTATCTCTAAAATCAGCCTTACAAAAGATTCTCTAAAATCAGCCTTACAAAAGATTCTCTAAAGTCAGCCTTACAAAAGAGTCTCCAAAATCAGCCTTACAAAAGAGTCTCCAAAATCAGCCTTACAAAAGATTCTGTAAAATCAGCCTTACAAAAGATTCTCTAAATTCAGCCTTACAAAATTATCTCTAAAATCAGCCTTACAAAAGATTCTCTAAATTCAGCCTTACAAAATTATCTCTAAAATCAGCCTTACTAAAGATTCTCTAAAATCAGCCTTACAAAAGATTCTCTAAAATCAGCCTTACAAAAGAGTCTCCAAAATCAGCCTTACAAAAGATTCTCTAAAATCAGCCTTACAAAAGATTCTCTAAATTCAGCCTTACAAAATTATCTCTAAAATCAGTCTTACAAAAGTTTCTCTAAAACCAGCCTTACAAACTATTCTCTAAAACCAAGTCCCACCTCAGTGCCAAACTTAACACAACACCAATGACAGCAGTCTCGCATAAACAACCAATTTTTTTTCTTCCGAAGTCAGCATGTGGAGATCGATATAAATCACGCTACCAATGTACAGACCACTTGGTAATATATTTAAAACTGGAACTTCTTTATACTTGTATTTTCTGAAATGTGTTTGTATTTTTTTGTTATTTTTGTTTTTATGTTTAAACATGCCATGTTTAATAATCATTACTGTAGTTGAAGCATCTGGTTATTTACTTTGTTAAATTTAGTTACGACTATTACGACATGTTATAAGACTGTTTATATATTCGCTTTAAATTCACTTGTGTTTTGCTTATAATTATTGTTATGCTTTGTATTATTGTTATTTTTATTATGATAAAGTGTGTATCTTTTTGGACTTTCATTAGATTTAAACATCATTTTTTATATAAATTAGTGTTTATTATTTAATGTTATTATTTTAAATGTTCTTCAGGGAGCGCCAACGTATGTTAAATATATAGATGTATTTAATGATGAACAAAATGTTTCAAATTTAAGTACCGTATTTACCAAAACATGCTTGTATGCCGTTTTTGCGTCCTTAACACTATTTTATAGAAGTTTTACAGTCTTTTAGTGTATTTACTTTATTGAAGCCCATTACTATCTTACTTATGTTATAAAATCCGATGATTAATGCCAAGAAGTTATTTAAAAAATTTAAAAAAAACACATTTTTATCCTTAAATTTGATTGAGGCTGACACATTTAGTCAAATTTAATTTTAAACACATATTTTGACAACTGTTTTAACTCATTATATGTCAACCAAACTAAGTTACGTTTAAAAAAAAAAAAATTTCCTATAGCTTAGGTATGCATTCCATTCTTATGCTACTTTGCAACTAAATTAAATAGTGCATGTTATTTATTCAACATGCGTTAAAGTCTGCAATAACATATATTTATTATGTGTGCTGTAATGATGCTTCTGAAATAAGGTTGTAACGCTAGCTCACGTTTGAATGATCTGTTGGTGTTGAAATCAGGATAGATTGACAAATAACGTATTCACTTTTAGTTTGAATATCAATTGCCTTTCAAATAAACAATGTATTTTTGTTTCGTTTATATTTCCTCGCTTCATGAAAAAAGGTTGGTTTGTTGTAGATAACGTTAAGCGTACAGGAACCAATTATTAATCTTAGATATTTTACGGCAGTGAGCATTATAATTTGGATAACGAGCTGACTTTATTTTTAAAATATTGTCCCATTAACCTTAGCTGAAAGAACGCAAAAAAGATCACAGTTTTTTTTATTTTTAACTAAAATTGGTCACCCCTGCACAAAAACGTGTGCTTATCATTAGTTTGACACACATGAATTAACAAACATAAATAAAGGTTTATAATATTTAAAGCTTAGGTTGACCAAGTTTGGCACAGATGAAACAATTTTAATAGAACCTTTCCTTATTGCACTGCTTGGGCTATTACAAAGAAAATATATTAAAAAGAACTCTCTACTCTCATTTTGAACGTTAGAGAAACATTACAAAATATCGTTGAATCTGATTTCATAACATTTGAGAACAACCATAGACACTTATAGAAACATACGAAACATGAAAAAGGAGATTTATATAATCATAAAATTCTTATTTAAAAAATCTGAAGTTCTAGAATAGGATGTTTCAAGATACTTAAAAATACATATTAATCAATACCGGGAAAATCCCAGGAAAGTATAGAAATCTATAAAACTAAACTAAAATTTCCATAAACTTTTAGATCCCATTGAAATTTTCATACTCTTTAAAACTACGTAGAACTATATAGAACCTATTGAAACATTTATAATCTATTTAAAAGAAAATAAAACCTTCAAATAATTTGTTTAAAAAAATGACTACATATAATATGTATTCATTAATTCGAGACTAAACAAATTGTCGCGACTCAATAGTTTACTTTTAAAGTTAAAATAAGGACCCCTGTGGGGATCCTTTTTTTTTGTGTGATTTTTTAACAATCGCAAAGATAGGGCCCCTAAATAATTCATCAGATAAATAGCCAAGTAAAAATGTTAAAGTTGTCCCAAAAAAAAAAAAAAATCGGTTGAAAATCTGTACATAAGAAAGATGAAATTAGTAGATCTGACCTCGACAGATGTGAATATTTGGAGTTCAAAGATGAAATTAGTACATCTGACCTCGACAGATGTGAATATTTGGAGTTCAAAGATGAAATTAGTACATCTGACCTCGACAGATGTGAATATTTGGAGTTCAAAGATGAAATTAGTACATCTGACCTCGACAGATGTGAATATTTGGAGTTCAAAGATGAAATTAGTACATCTGACCTCGACAGATGTGAATATTTGGAGTTCAAAGATGAAATTAGTACATCTGACCTCGACAGATGTGAATATTTGGAGTTCAAAGATGAAATTAGTACATCTGACCTCGACAGATGTGAATATTTGGAGTTCAAAGATGAAATTAGTACATCTGACCTCGACAGATGTGAATATTTGGAGTTCAAAACCCACCATTTTTTTCAATATAGATTTAAAGTGCATTTGTACATGTTTCGTCTTTACTATATATCTTATTAGTGTCACTGTATTTCATTAACTCATATAAGAAAAAAACAACAACACAATCTTTCAAATTATACAGCAGTGAGTACTTTAGGTTGGATCACGAAACAAACTTTATTTTAACAAAATGACCCATCAGAATCGGCTTCATATAACATGTAGATATTATTATTTACATTATAAATCCACCAATATTTTTTTAAGGGATGATGAACTATATTTTGACCAAGTTTGGTCTAGATCTAACAATTTACTAAGAAGATTCCAATGTAACCTAAAACTTAGTGTATAGCTTTGACTTTTACATGGAAAACAAGATTGAGTACCTCCTTTACTCATCTGGAACTTTAAATCTAATTTCGAAATATTTTAGGAAAATCATAGAGACTTATTAGCGCATGAGTAACATAAAAAGGACATCTCTTACACTACCGAGTCAATATCTGATGTCATCGAAGTATACGTAGACAAACTAATTGTCTAATTATTCTCGTATAGAAGCGCATACGAAAATTATTTTTTTACAAAGCTCATATGAGGCACACAAAAAACCACGAAATTAGGGTTAAAGGTATGATTTATAGGGATTTTAATGACTCAGAAAAATGCGAGGGCTTGCTGACAACAACTCTTAAAAGTTTTATCGCAATCACATGAATGGTATAGGAGCTTATATGGGACAGAAATACATACATACATACAGACATTCATTTATATATATAAATACATTTTTATATATATATACATTATATATATATTAGGTTGTGATTTTATAGTCTTATAACCGGAACTGAAATTGCATAATCCAGAAGAAATTTTAAGAATTTTCAATTCTAAAAATAGAAAAAACAGGTTTATTCCCTTCAGCTTATCGGAATTTCCAACATTACAAATCCAATTTCATTTATGAGAATTATGTTTAAATAATATGTAAGTCAGATAAACTGTAAGTAGAAATTAATTTAAAATTTAAAACCTTAAATGAAAGGCCTTAGCCTGAACCCAATCCACCTCATCTGGGTGTAATACACCCATAGACAAACTGTATTTGTGATATCTCGAGTTCCTTTTAATATTCTTTCTTACTTATAGTCGACCTAATAATCCACAAGGAAGTTGGAATGAACACCTTTGTGAATGCAATTGTTATTGCAATTGTATATAAAGTATAAAGCATGCGAAAGTGACTTATTTTTGGGGGCCTTAACTTTTTTCCTACAGTCCGTAGCTATTATTGTTACCCACTTTACTCTCCCCTAATTCTCAAAATATCATATTCGTACTCTTTCAATACCATTTATCTTGACTGCATATGACACTTGAACCTTGTCCTTATTCCATAACCTGCAACACGATCGCAAACGTACCGCCCCAGTTTTTTGCTACAAACAGAATGTACAGGCGAAGAGAGGCCAACTTTTGACTTGTCTTGCACGAACATTGTGCTAACATCCCGACAAGCCATCAGCAGTGCACAGACAGACACACATTAACTAAATCTTATATTGTTAAAAGCCTAAAATTATAGAAATATTTTAATTTACACTTATAATAATTCTTGAAATAATGTAATAACCAGTCAAATTTAAGATTAAAATTTTAAAAGAGAAAACGGGATTGTTCACGTCAACTAATTTACCTCCCCCCTCCCCGTTTCAACAATTGTCAGACATTTCCAGCGCCCACCCATATTTTTTTTTCATAATTAGTGGGCGACCCCTTGTTGTATATTTGAGTTTGTATAATCCATAAAATAAATTTTAAATTTTAATAATTAATAAATGAACTGCGCTGAATGCATTTGGGTACCAATGATAATAAAATGTGTGCAACTTGAAAAAAAGCATTTCAAAGCAGAAGAGTTTTTACATTAAGAACAGAATGTTCTTTGCAAATATGGCTACAACACATTGTGCATTGACATTTTGTTTTCCTGTCTATTTTTCGCTGGGCACTGAGCGCATCTCTTCTGCTTTGAAGCTGAAGTAGGATCAAAATCGGTTGTCCTTTCCCTCTTTGCAGGAGCTGAAGTAGGATCAAAATCAGTTGTCCTTTCCCTCTATGCAGGAGCTGAATTAGGATCAACATCAGTTGTCCTTTCCCTCTTGGCAGGAGCTGAAGTAGGATCAACATCAGTTGTCCTTTCCCTCTTTGCAGGAGCTAAAGTAGGATCAATATCAGTTGTCCTTTCCCTCTTTGCAGGAGCTGAAGTAGGATCAACATCAGTTGTCCTTGCCCTCTTGGTAGGAGCTGAAGTAGGATCAACATCAGTTGTCCTTTCCCTCTTTGCAGGAGCTGAAGTAGGATCAACATCAGTTGTCCTTTCCCTCTTGGCAGGAGCTGAAATAGGATCAACATCAGTTGTCCTTTCCCTCTTGGCAGGAGCTGAAGTAGGATCAACATCAGTTGTCCTTTCCCTCTTTGCAGGATCTGAAGTGGGATTAAAGCTTATCATACATTGTTTTATTGACACAGATTGTTCGTGTCAAATTAATCTATTTTAAAGCTATATCGCAGTCCAACACTCTTTTAAGTAGGATCAATATCAGTTGTCCTTGCCCTCTTTGCAGGAGTGGAAATTGAAGCGTTCCGGGTAGCTTGATCAAGTGTTTGTAAAGATTTCAATACACTGATGATGTTGTGTCTTACAATATCTTTATGTGTCGGGACGGAACGCCTCTGTATTTGTTGGAGTGTGAGGAAATATGCAACGTTATATTGAATTGCTGTCTGTTGTTTTCATGAGACAGTGAGTTGATATGATATTTATATTTGAAATACACTCTTCCTGCAATTGATGCCAAGCTACTAAAAGCCACCATTTAATAAGTTTTTCGTTTCCCAGAAAATGCCATCGCCATTTGGTTCATGGCGTCTACGCCTCCTTTGTTTTGTTTTTTTTTTGTAGTAGAGCACAATCTCTGGTTTCTTGCATTCTGTTTCTTTTTCTATGTCTGGGTGACTGTGCATGGTGCTCGGGAGCAAAACATTTTTCTGCTTATTGGTCTGATTATTGACAAGTGTATCTTCTGGTCTCAACAAAAACACTAATTCGTTGAGGGGCAGATCGTTCTTTTGTTGGAACTCCTTGGGTAGGAGCATCTTGTTCCGCTTCACTGTTCCAACAAGAGTGAGCCTGTTCACAACTACTGTGATGTTCTCTCCAGGAAACATAATACCTTGCCAAATTACTTAGGGATGCTTACCAAATATCTCTCATAGGAGCAAAGATGTCACGGAACCGACCTACTGACCTAGTATACTTGTCATTAAAGCAAATATGCTTCAGAAGGTTGAAGAATCTTTTTATTGAGAGGACTTCCATCAACAGGGCTGAATAAAAATTTCACAGAAACGCTATTCTGGGGAATAGCACCCGTGTGTAGGAGGCAATCAATAAAAGCTTTCATTTAGATCGCATCAGTCATTTGCCATGTGTCTCCTTGTACTCTCTCACCTTCCCTGTTGTTGCAGTCATCTATTGTTTTCATAATTTTTTTCATTAATGTACAGAAGAAATGCTTCAATTGGAGAAACTATATGATATGTGAAGGGAGTTCGGTTCCTAGACAGTTTGAATATGTTCTTCTGGGGAGTTCTTGCCTCAGGGTGTGGTGGTCTAGAAAACCATACATCTACGTTATCTTTGCCCAGGACAGTATTTTCATTGATCCATTTTGCACAATATCACCATCTGATTCATTGCTCTCTTTGTCATTACATGCACTGCTTTCAAAGGTTTGGCTATCATCAATAGCTGCAGTATAAACTGCGTTGACCTCATCATCAGAGATGCTTGAATCAATACTAGTGTCTTCTGTTTGTGATGGCTGCCTCTCCTCGTCCCCTTCATCAGATATTTCAGGTTCATCACTTGTTTGCCCATTACCACCATCATCTACTGGAGCACAAAGTTTAGCAGAGATGTTTCCATCCATTTTGCACTTGGAAAAAAGTGTACATGTTAAACTGTTGTTCAATGTCAAGATTATGACAGGCTAGTTACAAATAGGCATTTTCCATCAATCCTTCTAGATCTATATCTAACAGTTGGATTAAGATTATATAGTTATTTATATTTGGTATTCAGATAGTAAACTGATAGAGAATAAGAAAGTGTCCTTATTTGAAAGCAAGGTCTTATCTGTTGCTTGAGAAAAATCAGATATTTAAAAGACTTGGTTTTAACCAAGGATGATCACTCAAATTCTGAGTATATTTCTTTGGCTGGAAAAGCTACAACTAAATCATGCCAATTTGAAAAGTATTAAAAAAGCAAAAAAAAAAAAAAAAAAAAGAGCTATAAGATTTTCTGTGATATTCGACTAAGCAAGGAATCTTCATAAACATTTTCCCCCATTATAATAAGTTGAAGGGTGTGCTACACACAGTCGCTACAGGGACCGGGTATACAATATGTTGAGGTTGATAGGGATGAGACATTTTTTACAAATAAACAAAGTCAAACGCTTGTAAATATGTGTGTGTGTATGTATGAAGAAGATCATGTTTCTTAAATAGTAAAAACAATTTTCATACATCTAAATTTTAGGAAAAATTCTACGCCTAATGTGTTCTTACTTTACCCATTACCAGATAAATTTACAATGTCAAAGAGACACACAGCTACAAACGCTATATCGAGAGGGGGCAATCAGCCATTCGACAGAAGTGACTTGTGTAGATCTAAAACCAGCCATAAAAATACAAACGATTCTCTAAAACTAGGTCCCACCAAAGCATCACCTTCCTATGACATCAATGACAGCAGTCTCGCATCGGCAACAGATAACTTTTCAGAGTTACCAAATGGAGATTTATATCAAGCTATCTCATCAGGTAACCTGGACGATATCATTAAACTGATTGAAAAATCAGAAAAAAAGACCAATGAGGTCAAGCAGTCGACTCTAGACCAGGGGCTTTTGATGGCGTGCAGCAAAGGTCGAAATTTTGTCGTCCGGCATCTCCTGTTGAAAGGCGCTTCCACCGAGACCAGGGACTCAATGGGCAACACGCCACTCTTGGTGTTCGTTGGGAAAGGATTCGTAGATATTGCCAGGCTGCTCCTCGACAAGGGAGCTGACGTGAACGCCTCAAAAATATGCGATGATTCGGCTTTGACCTTATCAATGGGCAACACCCCCCTCTTGGTCTCAGCTGAGAGAGGATTCGTAGACATTGCCAGGCTGCTCCTCGACAAAGGAGCTGACGTTAACGCCTCAAACATACGTGGTGATTCGGCCTTGACCTTATCCGTTAGAACATGTGGGTCGAAAGATATGATCGGTCTGCTGCTAAAGCAAAAGTCTGTCGATGTTAATCACAGAAACAAAGATGGCTACACGTGTTGGATGAAAGCTGTGGAAGCTCTGGACTTTGACGCGTTGAAGCTTCTCATCAAATCAGGAAGAGACATCGACAGGGACGTGAACAACTGCAAAGGACAAATGAATACAAAATTAAGCACGACACCAGAAACCGATAGCATGGCAATTAAAGGCTTTAAAGTCGATGCCATCATATCACTTCTCGAGCGTGAGGCCAAGGGCTCCCAAAGTTCTCTGAGACTTGCAGTATTCCAACGCGATTTATACAGTATTCGGTTTTTGATTGATTATGGCATACATGATGTTAATATGAATTACCGGTATGATCGAGAATTACTGTTTGACTTTCTGAAAGATATAGAGAAAAAACAAAGTAAAAAATGCCATGTCAGCATAACTGAATTAGCAATCATTAGAAAACTTCTCCAAACTGGCGCCGACGTTTATCTAAGGAATTCACGCAGAGCCGATGAAGTACTTTTCAAAGCAGTGAACATTGGCAGTTACGAACTCATTGATTTGCTGTGTCAACATGGTGCCGACCCAAACACTCAATCCCGTAAATCTCCATGTCAGAATGCTGTAGCGGCAGCCGTAGAAAAAGGTCGATGTGATTTGCTGAAATTACTTATTAAGTACAACGCCAATGTTCACTGTAACAATTGGCCACTATACCGACTGCGCCTTAATTTTCTAATAGAAACAGCTTTGAGAAGTGGCGAGGTGAATGACATAGAGCTGCTGCTGAGAAATGGAGCCAGTGTCAATGTAGAGGCAGGACTACACCTTGCAGTCACACACAAACGTTTAGATTCTCTGAGATTTTTGCTCGGTAAGTTTTCAGATCTTAGTCGATCCGCCATTCACAGTAACAGCATGGGTCTTATTCATAAAGCTGTCAAGACGGGTGACGTCGATATTATAAACACACTGCTGGACACTGGTTCCGATGTTAACTGTTTGTTTGATGGGAAGACTCCACTGATGCATGCTGATACACCCGACGTTATGGAATTGTTAATCAAGAGAGGAGCAGACGTCAACAAGCAGACGGATCACGGGAGACAAATTAATATGTTATTTTACGTAATATTTAGGGAATGTAAAAAGCAAAGCCAGGGAGATCTGAAACAAAAATATGGAGGGAAATTCGAATCACCTTCTTGGTATATAAATTTAAAAGACATGGTGGAAATACTTTTGAGAAGTGGAGCAAAAGTGAACGACACAGATTCTCAAGAACAGACACCATTGATGGTGGCAGCTAAACACTCTGATGCTGGGAGTGTGTTGAAGATTTTGCTCGAAGCTGGAGCCGAAGTGAACAAAGTGGATTCTAAGGGTGTCAGTGCTCTACACGAAGCCGTGGTAGGTGGGTCTCTTAAAAATGTGGAAATTTTAATTGAATTCGGAGCAGACGTGAACCAGAAGTGCAATAATGGTGGCACGGCTCTGCACGTAGCTGAAAATAACGAGGTCGTCTTGGAATATTTGATACGGAATGGCGCAGATGTTAATGCGCAGGACGCAAGCGGAAACACTGCATTAATTACTGCCGTGAAAGGAAATGACGATAAAGTCAGTGCAAGAATGCTGGAAATTTTACTTGGCGCCGGATCTAACGTGAATCATCGAAACGCAAATGGTGAAACGGCTTTAATGAAAACTGCTTATTTTCTAAAAGACTTAGCAATCAAAACTCTGTGTGAAGCTAATGCCGATGTGAATGTGCGTCGTCAAGGCAACACGGAGGACGCCATCTCTATTCTTGTTGACGGACTGTGTAAAACAAACATGAGTCATGGTGAAGTGCGTGACTCAATTTTGTATCTGCTTGACCGAGGAGGAAGTTCTTCATGTGTGAGTTTTCAGAATCTTTACTATTTCATATCGAACGGTTGTTTGACCATTGTCCAGAGACTTGTCGCAGCTGGCCTTGGACCAAGCGATGTTGGCGTTGAGGAATTACATTTTAGGTACAGAGAAATTATAAGTGACAGAACGTTCTCCCCGTTTTGTTTCGCTCTTCTGTGCAATCAAGTGAAACTAGCTCGTTACTTCTCGGACATTTGGTATTTGACCAACTCAGACGTGTCATCATCAGCTGCCTACAAGAAAAGTGTTCGGCTGCGACTTGCGTGCAGACATCACCCGGAGTGTATTAAATTTCTGGAGGAATTCTTGTCACAACCGATATCCCTAAAAAAATTGTGTTTTGTCGCCGTGTCTACTTCAATAGGAACAGGACCAGGCAGAGAGCGAAAAATCCGAGATCTTCCTCTGCCAAACAAGTTCAAGGACAAACTGCGGTTTAGTGGTGGTTGTGCACCGGAACTACATTGTGACGACGCCCCAAGAGACGTAGGGATATGGCCAGACCGAACCAAGTATGACCTGGTTTTCGGTGATCTGTTTCATGACAGTAAAGACTGAACCTGATTTGGATTATGAAAGTCATTTTTTTATCAATATTTTTTGTTGATCAATATCTTTTTGTTGATCAATATCCTTTTGTTGATCAATATCCTTTTGTTGATCAATATCTTTTTGTTGATCAATATCCTTTTGTTGATCAATATCCTTTTGTTGATCAATATCTTTTTGTTGATCAATATCCTCTTGTTGATCAATATCTTTTTGTTGATCAATATCTTTTGGTTGATCAAATATCCTTTTGTTGATCAATATCCTCTTGTTGATCTATATCTTTTTTTATCAATATCCTCTTGTTGATCAATATCTTTTTGTTGATCAATATCCTTTTGTTGATCAATATCCTCTTGTTGATCAATATCTTTTTGTTGATCAATATCTTTTTGTTAATCAATATCCTTTTGTTGATCAATATATTTTTGTTGATCAATATCCTTTTGTTGATCAATATCCTTTTGTTGATCAATATCCTTTTGTTGATCAATATCCTTTTGTTGATCAATATCCTTTTGTTGATCAATATCCTTTTGTTGATCAATATCCTTTTCATTATGAAACTGATTCCGATTAGGATCATTATCTGGTTGTGATGTTTTGAATCTGAATTGAAGATGTTTAATTAAGTATTACCCTTAAAATAGTGTTGTGACTCTTGCTACAAATGATTCTCTAACACAAGCCATAGAAATTATTCTCTAAAACAAGCCATACAAATGTTTCTCTAAAACATGCCATACAAATGATTCTCTCAAAAATGCCATACTAATGATTCTATCAAACAAGCCATACAAATGATTCTATCAAACAAGCCATACAAATGATTCTATCAAACAAGCCATACAAATGATTCTATCAAACAAGCCATACAAATGATTCTATCAAACAAGCCATACAAATGATTCTCTCAAACAAGCCATACAAATGTTTCTCTAAAACATGCCATACAAATGATTCTCTCAAACAAGCCATACAAATGATTCTATTAAAAAGCCATAGAAATGATTCTCTCAAACAAGCCATAGAAATGATTGTATCAAAAAGCCATAGAAATGATTCTCTCAAACAAGCCATAGAAATGATTCTATCAAAAAGCCATAGAAATGATTCTCTCAAACAAGCCATAGAAATGATTCTATCAAAAAGCCATAGAAATGATTCTCTCAAACAAGCCATAGAAATGATTATATCAAAAAGCCATAGAAATGATTCTATCAAACAAGCCATATAAATGATTCTATCAAAAAGCCATAGAAATGATTCTATCAAACAAGCCATAGAAATGATTCTATCAAAAAGCCATAGAAATGATTCTATCAAAAAGCCATAGAAATGATTCTATCAAAAAGCCATAGAAATGATTCTATCAAACAAGCCATAGAAATGATTCTCTCAAACAAGCCATAGAAATGATTCTATCAAAAAAGCCATACAAATGATTCTCTCAAACAAGCCATAGAAATGATTCTATCAAACAAGCCATAGAAATGATTCTCTCAAACAAGCCATAGAAATGATTCTATCAAACAAGCCATACAAATGATTTTCTCAAACAAGCCATACAAATGATTATATCAAAAAGCCATAGAAATGATTCTCTCAAACAAGCCATACAGATGATTCTATCAAAAAGCCATAGAAATGATTCTCTCAAACAAGCCATAGAAATGATTCTATCAAAAAGCCATAGAAATGATTCTCTCAAACAAGCCATAGAAATGATTCTATCAAAAAGCCATAGAAATGATTCTCTCAAACAAGCCATAGAAATGATTTCTCAAACAAGCCATAGAAATGATTCTATCAAAAAGCCATAGAAATGATTCTCTCAAACAAGCCATAGAAATGATTCTATCAAAAAGCCATAGAAATGATTCTCTCAAACAAGCCATAGAAATGATTATATCAAAAAGCCATAGAAATGATTCTATCAAACAAGCCATATAAATGATTCTATCAAAAAGCCATAGAAATGATTCTATCAAACAAGCCATAGAAATGATTCTATCAAAAAGCCATAGAAATGATTCTATCAAAAAGCCATAGAAATGATTCTATCAAAAAGCCATAGAAATGATTCTATCAAACAAGCCATAGAAATGATTCTCTCAAACCAACCATACAAACGATTTGAAACGCTCATTTGAGAATAGATCTAAAATTGGTACTTCTTTAAACTTCCATTTTCTGAAATGTGTTTGAAGATTTAATTATTTTTCTTTTGTTATATTTAGTTACGACTATAATGACATTTTTTAACACTGTTAACCGCCTTTAATTTAAATATGGTATACTTATTATTATTGTCATGATTATTATTAGTATTATTATTATGATAAAGTGTGTATCTTTTGAACTATCATTTTAGTTAAACATAATTTTTATATAAAATACTGTTTATCATGTAATGTTAAGTTGTAAAATGCGGTTAAAAAAAAAAAGATTATTATTCATCTTTATAAAAGACGGAGTCCCCGCCCCCCAGAGGCGTAGCGAGGGTGTTTGGGACCCGGGGACAAGATTCGCGCCCGGGGACAAGATCCATTTTAAAGCGCCCCTTTTTCTTTTTTTCAACTCTCAAGCCCATTATTTTTACCAATAATATAATATCAAATCACATTTTGGAGCCCTTAACTAGTTTGCGCCCGGGGACATCTGTCCCCCCTCGCTACTCCTCTGCCCCCCCCCTCCGACATTTCTATTGTATCTCACCTTTCTCCAAGGACATCCACGGATAAAAGGAATCCACAAATGTTATTCCTTAACTTGTTTTCACACCCTTTCCTTGTCACCCCCTTTTATTTGACTCAACGAGAGCCATGTTTTGTTCCATTTAAATAGTCTTTGAGAAATTGAGTCGCATAGGACACGCTTGGTGTCACAGACATATCGCGTGTTTATGTTATGTGTCTGGGCCGGTCATTTTAACAGTGAGAACTAACGTTTTTCCTTTGGAACTTCCCCATATCTCGCACCACGGTTTACTAAGTCATGAATGCGCTAATGAAGCATTTCCGGTGTGGTGCGATATTTTGGGAGATAATAATCACATGGACGTCAAGATGCATTTGTTTTAAAGCAATGAGTGGGTGGTTTGTTGAGCTGGGTGCAGGAATTTCCATTCTTTCAAATGTGAACACCATTGTTACTAGTTTCTAATTGTTCATTGTGTCTTAACACATCATATAAATAATAATGAAAGGATACCTTTATTTCAAACCATCTCGTCAAGTTATTTGAATCGAAAAAGAAAACGGAGTTGAGACTCTGATCTGATAGTGTGTTGCTGTGGCCGTTGAGTGAAGGACCTAGCCCTAGACGACATTTCGCCACACTTGGCACAATACTATTCAGTCTAGTAAGAACATATAATAATCATAATCTGATGGGGCCGATGCAATTAATTAATCAACCTCTGCGTTATGGTAATAAGTCAACTCATTTTAATCATATGCATACACACACACTATTCCCCACCCCCTCTTTCTATCCCTTCCCCCCTTCTTTTCTCTAGCTTCCTCTCTCATCCTTAGAATTATAACGCCATACTTTGTGGATTTAAAGAAGAGAATGTCCTTAAAACAAGCAATATTTTTTTCTGGTAGTTTCCTTTCTCACGTTCCTCCAAAGGGCAACGTGTGAACACAAGACGTTGTGTCTGGCTGTTCAACTGGCGGCTCTAAAATATTGTTCTGTAGTTTTCTATCATTTATGTAACACTCATAATGTTCTCTGTATTTTTATATAATAAGGTTCTCTTTCTTTTTAAATAAGGCATACGTTTCTCATTTTTTTTAAAAATTTAACACTCATAAGGTTCTCTGCCTAATTTTTAAACACTCATAATGCTCTCTGCATTTTTGTATAACTTGCGAAAGGTTCTCTGTTTATATTTTAACTTCACCTTTAAGTTTTATAACTGACAGATTCTTAAGTATAAACCTTCTCTTGAAACCCACGTAGTCTCAATGTTTTGCTACTTATTATTTTGTGTGTTTCTTACGATAACGACAGTGCATAGCCTAAGGGGATAAGTTCAACCATACCAGTTAGGGCGAATACGCCGGTAAGCTTTGTACTGTACGTGAATGAAATCACACAATGGTCTCAACTACACAACTGTTCAGTTA